GTGTTGTTGGAGTTATTAAGCTAAAATAATATTCATTCGCTAATAAATTTTATAATTTTGAATTATTATAGCATCTGATGAACTTGAACCAAAAGTTTTAGATGCGCGCTGGACTGGAAATAGTTCTATTATACTTACTATTCAAGCGCCCAATTCACCTGCAGCACTTGGCCATTTTACTTTGAATGAAAATATTTTTGGAATTCAATATAGGTTTGCCCAGGATGCGTATTTTATAAATGGTTATGATGAAAAAATAACCAATGAAAACTATGCAGGAGCTAATCCAGTAGATGTGGAGGCCATATATGGTGAGAATTTTAACATGCATCGTGGTGCAATAATAACGGTTGCTGTTTCAATATATTATAGGTGCCAAACTACTATATATGATGAAATTTTATTTAATGAATTAAAAACTGAATGTTCGAGTTGCGATGTTAAGTATGATGCGTATTATCCGTTTTAAACTTTAGAATAATTTACAACAGCCCTTAAACTATTCAGCGGGCAAATTTGCCTGCTAGAATTTTTTTAACATGTTTTTTTAAAATTATTAAAAATTTTATTAAGGATGAGTACTTTATTACTAAGCTAAAATAAAAATGTAGCATATTGTTAATTGATTTCTATTAAAATTTTAATTTATATATTTATAAATAAAAGAAAAATTTGCTAAATATAGGCAATTCTTTAATTTTACTATAAAATTTTTCAATAATTTTGAAAAGTTTTTAAATTTTTATGTTTCTAAAGAGAAAAAACTTTTCTTTACTAATCAAAGTTAAAATTTTAGTTATAAAATTATAAAAACTTTTATAATAAAAGTTGTTTATAATAACTTAAACTAAAATTTGTATCAAGGTTATAGAGTATATATTCTTAGAATTTTTAAAAATTTGTTAATAGTCAAATAAATTTTCTAAAAATTAAAAATTTTTAAATTTTAAAATTTTTTAAGCTTATAGACAACTTAATTTTTTTATACCAATATAAAAATTAAATTTATTAAAATATAATCTATATTAATAGTTAATATTTAAAAATAATTTTTAAATAATTTAATTTTTAATAAAAATAAATCAGAAGCAAATTTTATAAATCTATTAAAAATTTTAGTAGACAAATTTAAAATTGACAGTTTAAAGAATAATTGTATATAATTAGTGTCTAGTTATTTTAATATATATTTTATTCTGATATTAAATATTTGAAATTACACAAATTAAGAAAATTCAATGTTATTAATGATTAGTTTTATAATTTTTTTATAAAGCATACTAGAATCTAGATATATCTAAACATTCATGCTTGATTTAAATACTTTTAATTTGATATTTATGAGAAAACAAGTGACCTAACTATGTATACTACAGAGATATATATAATTTTTTGCTTTTTTTTGAATTTAAATTTTTTTCTAAGTAAATCTTTTTTTTTATTAAAATCCTGAAATAGCATTTATCTGAGGATGTCAAATGACACTGTTTATCAAACTGAAGAATATATACAAATTATTATTATATACAGTTATTTTCTAAACTAAATGCACCATATACATCTTTTAAAAGTCTTTTTCCTTCTCTTAAGCAAGTAGCTGTTCAATGCCAGCTTTATTTCTTTTGCGATTCTAGATTTCCAAATAAACTGTAATGCCAGTTCTGGCATCATATCCTTACCCCATTGCTTGTTTGTGAACCAGACCTATATACAGTTAATACTTGTCACACGGCAGAAATACAAACGGTAGAAAGCATTACACTGCATGACTACATATGGTAAAAGCGAACGGCCAAAATTAAATAGTGTTAAATAAAGATGTGTTTACGGAGGAGTGGTTTTGTTAGAAAACGATCAAGATACAACATTTATTTTTAACCTTATTTTTTGTTGCGATCTTGATGAATTATCAAAACACCGTTGATTAAAGAAAATGCACGCTGGCTTCGTCTAAATTTTGCACGATTTTTATCATAAAAGTTTCCAAAATGAAAAACTTCATTACAGAAATGGAGCAATGATATTATAACAAAATATCCAGATAAGGCTTTGAATCAAGACTTTATTTCTCTTTCAGAAAAAATGCACTAATTTCACTCATAAACAGACGATTTACAGATGGAGGAAGGATAAGGAATAATCCATATAAGTTTAAGCTGCTTCTTCATGGAACTCGAGATGGTTTTACAACACAATCATTTTGGAATTTATGTGACAAGCAAGCAAACACTGTTGTAGCAATGAAAGTTAATAATGGTATTGATAAAATTCTGGTGGATATAATCCGATACAGTGGAATAAATCAAGTAGTAGTTATATAAATTGCAATGATAACTATATTTAGCTACGCTTTAACATATACTGCAACAAGAAGCATTTTTTGAAAAAATTCTTTTTAATATCGAATATGATAAATATTGTTAATTTTCGTAGATTCATTTTTCGTTGTTGATTGCGGTGGTGGAACAGTCGATCTTACAATGAGAACGATACAAACAGGCAATAAATTAAAAGAAGAAACAATAAGAACAGGAGATTTATGCAGAAGTACATATTTAGATCAAGAGTTCTTATATTTTTTGGGCCGCATAGTATTACCGCCTTACAAAGACTACGATCATATACTTATGGTGATTTGCAAAAACTTATTCTTGAATTTTTTTGTAAGAATGTAAAGAATGATTTCAATGGAGATCCTGACGAATTTGAAACCATTGAATTGGTTCTCGATAGAGATTGTCACTTATTGGTTGACTATATTACTGGGGCAGAAAGAACCAACTTGGAAAATAGTGAATGGATTATTGAATTAAAGTTCGAGACAGTGAAAAAAAATGGTTGATCCAGTAATCGAAAAAATCATCAAGTTAATTCATAATCAATTGTTAGATCTTACAATAAAACGCCAATGCTAAGCCATGTTTTTGGTTAGAGGATTTAGTGAATCACCATACTTAATAAAACGAGTCCGAGAAAGATTCCAAGAACATGTACCCATTATTGCGGTTCCTAATCAGCCGATAGCGGCCACCGTTAAAGGCACTGTAAAATACGGTCTAGATATGAGCTTGGTCGAAAGTCAAGCCCTGAAATGGACGTACAGAATGGAGGTAAAAGAAGATTTTAATAATCATAGTGATCCACCAAGAATACGGTAAGTTATATTATAAATCAATAATAAATCAATAATTCGTAAATTCACCGTAATTAGCATAATTAAAGTCAATTCTTATAAAATTTTAGAACCAATGATAATTAAATTTGGAAGTTTGACACTCTTGCACGTCGTGGAGAACGCGTTGCGGTCAACCAGGCTTTTCGTAAAGAATATAAACCATTAAATGCAGACTAAAAAATGGCAGTACTCTGCGTATTCATTACAAAAGAAGTGAGGCCAAATACATTAAGGATGCCGGAATGCGGGAACTTGGTACTGTAAAATTTGAATTAAAGTTTGGAATGATGGAAATAAAAGCCACGGCTAAAAATAAAGTAACGCATGAAACATTTCATGAAAATTTCGAGTTGGATGTCAAGGGCAAAAAAATAGCAATATTTATATTATTGTTCGGGGTTTTATTTTTTTGTATATTCATATTCATTATTTCAAAGATTAAATCATTAGTTTATGGTCTATGAAATGAGATTTTAATGCTTCATAATATATCTGCAATATTATTTTCGTTATTTCAAAGGTAAAAAATGATTTGTTAAATAATTATAATAACGCGCGATGTTTACAGGAATGTCATTTTTCTATTTAGTAACGACCATTGAAAAGCATTGCACGCACATAATCCATTATTAATTGGATGCCCTGGCTAGTACAGTAGTATGCTAGCCTTAATACAGTAATACCATTAAATTTATGTAAGAATGACATAAGATCATTATGTCAAAGAATTAATGTTTTATTCGCTTTATTTTATCATTATTAAATGTATGCAAAAAATAATCTAGAACTAACTATGTTATGAAACGGTCGCTTAATAAATCACAGGTTTGGGATAATTTGCCACTAAAGAGAGGAAATTTATGTAAAAGCCACTAAATATGTATACATTATCGTGCACGTTGCGTATTCGCAAATTTGCCCAATAATAGTGTTATCCGGCAATTTATGATCATGAATAAACACGATTACATCGTATAATATAAAAAAATAACGTGCAGAAATTAATTTATAATAATAAGAGTTTTCTGGATAATTTGGCAAAAAAAAAAGTTTATTTTGGTTATTTGGCAAAAAATTAATAGTTTATTTTGGTTATTCTGCAGAAATTGATAGTTTATTTTGAATATTCGGCAAAAATTGGTACATACTGTTACGACAAGAGAGAGTAAGCATTAAAAATAGGAAACCAATTATTTATTATTATGCACAAGACACTAAAAGTACTAAAAATATAACCGATACAAGTAAGCATCTTCCCAAAAGCGTACCTGGTACACAAAGAAACCTCTAAAATACTAATTAACCTATGTTCTATTCCAATTGAGCAAAAGAAGAACCTCCCTCACTTTACAAAGAATATCATACATTCTACGTATTAGACTCAAATTGACTATATACTATTATATGTAAATGTAGTTATACTTAATAACGTCGTAACAATGTAAAAGTCTAATTAAAGTAAACCCTGCGACTATAATAAACTATAGTGTTACATAATAAGTAGCTGCGCAACGTTGTCGCGCGAAACCAGGAACGGGGGAATAATGTATACAGTGGAAGATACTGTGAAAA